AAGCCAGCCGTGGCCAGCAGCACGGAGCGCTTGTGGGTCCAGGAAGGACCAGGCTGAAGGGCCCAGGCTTGAGCACTGGGGACAAGCGATTGTAGCATCCCCATCCTTCAAGCATGTTTTTGTTTTTTTAAATAGCCTTGTTGGTTTTGTAAATGTCATGTACTCACTGTAAAATTTCAAACAATGCAGAAAAGAGCATCAGAGAAAGTAGAGCTCAGCCTCACCCCACCCCAGAGGTCACCACTGCTGCCGCACGGGGACCCTTCCCTCCGGACACCTGTCATTGAGCACAGACACCTGCACAGACGTGTGGGGGCCTATATCCCAATGATGTCACACAGTGCAGGTTCTTTCCCCCAGGAAGGTGTTAGTAAAGTGTCAATAGGTAGACTACAGTCATTAGTTTCAGTGGCTGATAATATTTCACGGCGTTATAGATCATCTCTGCAATATCCGTATAGGATCTCTCAACCCGTGCCACAGCCACGCCTTCACGGGCGCAGCCAGGCTTTCCCCACTGTCGCTGGTGCCGCCATAAACGCTCGGGCGCTCTCACCCCAGACGCTTATCTTTGGGCCGTCATCTCTGGCAACCTTTGTAAGGAAGGACAAACCGTCTGCTTTTTTTGGCTTAGTATCAGGTGGCCGTCGGGTGCTCAGTTCAGACAGGGTCACTTTTGAGAGCAGAAGGTGGCCCCGTTGACAATGCCACGTCCCGACAGGAGGGCTGCCAGCTGAGGCTGGGGTCTCTCCATCCTTTTAGGCTGCAAACCCCAGACGCGGGCCGCGGGGAGCTGCTCCCGACTGCCCCCATCTAGCTGCCCACCCCGTCTGTCTGTCCACCTCACCCTTGCCAGTCGCCCGCAACCATACAGCAGTATAGCATCAGCACTGAGAACAGGGCCCGGCACCAAGGTGCTTGCCAAGATTTGTGAATGAATGAATGAATGAATGAGTGAGTGAATGAATGATCAGCAGGAGCATCCCCCAGGGCAGATGCCATTTATTGGCACCTTAATAGGGTCCAGATGCCCTGCTACATGTATACGTGTGCTCTCATCCAATCCGGCCAGCCCTCGGACACGGTGACAAGGTAGCAGGCTCGCCATGTGACCCGGGTGTGTCTGACCCTGAGTCCTGTGCACACACGGACACAGCACGTGGGCCCCCCCCCCTCCCCGCTGGCTGCCCCTGGCACGTCGGTAAAGGGCAGGAGCCCACTGCCAAGTGGGCACGGAGGGCGCCGGCCCCAAGCCCAGTGACCCCTCCACTTGGGGGTGGAAGGCGATGAGTTCACACCCCCTCCCCCAAAATGCGAACCTGAGGAAGGGTCTGAGCTGTTTCCCCTGACAGTTCACTCTGGGCTCAGGGGTCTGCCGCCTCCAAGAGCCACCAAGCCCCCTCCCACGCTGCTCTCTGACCAGTGAATCTGGGATCCTGAGCCTTAGGCTGGAAGAGACCCTGAAGGACAGGCTACCCCCTCGGGGCGCCTGGGTGGCTCAGTCGGTTAAGCGTGCTACCTTGGCTCAGATCATGCTCTGGGGTTCATGGGTTCGAGTCCTGCGTTGGGCTCTGTGCTGATGGTGTAGAGCCTGCTTGGGATTCTCTCCCTCTCCCTCTCCCTCCCTCTCTCTCACTCTCTCTCTCCGCCCCTCCCTCACTCACACTTTCTCCTCTCTCTCCAAATAAATGAACGAACTTAAAAAAAGAACAATGCTACCCCTCATTTTAAGATGAGGAAACTGAGGTCCAGAGAGCCTCTGAGCCAGCTGGTGGCACCATATAAATGCCCTGGGCACCCGCCAGCCATGGGCTGACCCTCTCTGGGTCCTGGCCGTCCACGGCAATTGCTGGTGGCCCAGACCAGAGAGGTACGCTGGAGTCCCAGGCAGCCCAGCGGCTGACAACGCCGCCCACTGACAGGTGTTCCTTCTCCTTTCCCTGGTCCCGCGGGGGCTCCCCAGGCCACCTGGTGGGGCGCCGGGGCCGGGGGGGGGGTCTCTGGGTGACCTGCTGACGGGGCCGGCCGCTCCGGGGCAGGAAGCCAGCTTGCTCGGCGTTGACCCGGCCCGGGGAGCGGCCGCGGCGCCCCTGCCTGCTGCTTTTCCATGTGAAAGGTGTTTAATTATTTCTGACAGGGTTCAGCGTCGACATCTGTTCGCGAGCGGGGAGAGTCCATTTAGGTTATCTGTCACTGTGACAGGTTCAACTTTTTTGGAAGTGCTTTTCCCTTTCATAAAGGAGCTGGGGTGGGGGGGGCGGTGGGGGGGGGGCTCGGCACAGCCAGGAGGGACAAAGAGCCTCCTAGGGCCTCTCGCGGGACGCCCGGCGCCCCGGCGCCCCCGCCCTCGCCGCCGGCCCTCCTGAGCCCAGGCCCGGTGGTCGGGGCAGCCAGGGGTGGGGGGTGCCGGGACGCTCAGGTGGGGAAGGGGCTTTCATCAGGTCTCCGCAGGCTTTCTAATTCTGCCATTCTGGGCTGTACCAGTCATCCATCCATCCATCCATCCATTCATTCATCTCCTTCATTCTTTCCATATTTACTGGGCACTCACTGGGTGCAGGGCTCTGGGGATACGGTGAGACTCACAATAGGCACGGCCCTAGGGGGCTCACGTTTTGCTGGGGAAGATGGACAGCTAATTGCCCAATTAACTAATTAATTGCGATGAGGATACATACTGTGAAGGGGAGAGAGGGGCCCTGCCGCACTCAAGAGGCACCTGCTGGTGTGCGGCCAGAGTGAAGGAAGGATTCTCAGGAGGCCAGGGACCCTTTCTAACGGGGCATGTTCCTTCACCCCTCCGTGCCTCAGTTTCCACATCCGTGGAATGGGGACATACTTTCTATGAGATGCTTTTTGTGGGTGGTATTTCCCCAAAGGGGGTAGGTTCTGAGCGTTGCATCCATAAAGGCATCACTCCGGGAGGGGGGGGGGTCTCTGCTGGGCTGTCCAGGGTGCTGCCCAGGGTCGAGCCCTGCTCTGACAGGCCTGCAAAGAAACTTCCGGAACCCCATGAACATTCCCAAAAAGACGGCCAGCACCCTGTGCACGCTGGGGCTCGCATTTTTATTCTTCTTCATTGTTTCCAGGACACAGTGGGCCCAACGGTCCGAGGGACATGGCTTCCAGGTCAGGGGCAGGACAGCCCCAACTCTGTGCCGCCCGGAGGAGTCGGGGAGGGGGGCGCCCTCGCTCTGAAGATGAGGCTCACTAATCCCGAACGTGACTTAGCACGATGCCGGCACTGGGTAAAAGGGTCGCATTACTGGACCCCTCCTGCTGTTCCCGCCCACGGTCCACACAGCCGTCCAGCAGGCCAGTCCCCTCTCTTGAAAATAGAAACTTGTCCGTTCACTTCTGCACTTGTGCTCCCAGCCAGGGCCAGGCGCCGGGGGGTCGCCGCTGTGTGACACCAGCTCCTGACGCGGGAGCATCGCGCAGGGGGGTTGGGGTGGAGGCCCCTTCCTTGCTCCGCTGGGCCAAGACCACCTGAGCCCTCTCTTTGTCCAGGCCTTGGTGGCTACGGGCAGGTTCCAAATCGGAGCCAAGAGGCTGGGGGTTGACGCCGCCGAGTGACGTGGGGGGGAGGGGGGATGGTCTCATGCCTGTGGGGCCCTGGGGCCCCGTCCCTCCCCGGGGCAGCATCCCAGCGCAAATCAGAGAGAAAATCAGAGTGGTCAGAGCAGAGGAGGAAAGACAACAGAAGGAGGGGCCGGGCAGGAGGCTGTGGAGAGAGGGGTCGGGGGGAAACGTGGTTACAGAGGCAGGAAATTGGGGGAGACAGAAAAACCAGAGTGGAGCTGCCCAGGCTCAGCGCCTCCAGCCTCCCAGCGCCTCCGGCTCTGCGCCCGGTCAAGTTTGCGTGCGGGGCGACACGGGCTGATGGGCGGCGGGCGGATGGTCACTGACATGTGCTGACGGAGGCCACTTGCGCAGGACGCAAGAGGCCGCGTCGGGGGGCAGGCAGGCTTCTCCGCAGAAGTCGGCAGCCTGTTCGACTGCATTAGGCTCAGGAAGGCACTGGCCCCTTCATTGTCTAAATTGCAGTTTAACTCGATACCGCGGGTGGGCCGGGCTGGCCGGGAACGCTGCTCTGTCCAGCTGTCTTCCTGGAGCCGCGCGTGTCCCTGTGGCTCCCCGGAAAGGCTCGCGGGGCCCGAGCTGGGCACTCGGAAGCTGCGGTCCCCAAATCTCCTCTGGATCACGCCCCCGGCCCTCACATCGCTCTTCCCCTGCTAAAGTTCTCCGAAGGTGAAGCCCCCTCTGGGTGTGATGGGGCCGTCTGGCCTAATCAACATGAGTTCAGGTCGGAGGCGGAGCATGGCGGGTGCTAGATCATTCTGAGTGCTCCCCTCTCCCCAGGATGCCCCCCTGCAAGGGGTTTAGCGGCAGTGGCGAGGGGCTGTCCTCCCCCCCAGTGCAGAATGTGGCGAGTTGACGACCCCATCGGCGGAGGGGGGTTTGGCCCAGACAGTGTCTACTGTGGCGGACAGACACCCAGGCTCTATGCTCAGCGCAAGGCGGCCGCTCAAGCCCGCGATGGCCACACTCCCTGTGGCCAAGCTCCACTTCAATCAACGTGAAGGACCAGGGAGATGACATGAGACGATGTAACAATAATATGACACTTGCTGTCTGGGCGCCTGGGCGGCTCAGTCAGTTACGTGTCCCACTCTTGATTTCAGCTTGGGTCATGATCTCATGGTTCTCGGGCTCGCGCCCCGAGTCAGGCTCTGTGCTGGCAGTGCGAAACCTGCTTAGGGTTCTCTCTCTCCCTCTCTCTCTGTCCCTCCCCCGCTCACACACACACTCTCTCAAAATAATTAAATAAGCTTAACACATTAAAAGATAGATAGATAGATATATAATAGTTGCGTTATTATACCAACTGGTGGTTAGAAGCCGATAGAATCTCACCGCCTGGAAGACAGGTGAGGACCCAGCAAAGTGAGAGACACCCGCCCTGAGTGTGGGAAGGGGCGGGTGGAGGCGAGACTGACCTTCTGGAAGTGAGGCATATGCCAGAGGGCGTCCAGCTTCATGGGCGGCTTGTACTTCCTCAGCTGACTGCTGTGGGTCTCATACAGCTTCCCCAGGATCACCTACAGGCCACAGAGAGGCGGACGTGGGTGGGTGCCTGGAGGAGGCCGGGCTGTGAGGGTGGGGGCGAGGGCAGAGGGCTGGGCTTCCCGGGGCGGCAGCCCCGAGTCACGGTCCCCGGTTCTGATATCACCGCACCTGCCCTGCTCGGTGGACTGCGGGACTGCGGGGGCCACGACCACGTTGTTCTGGTTTTTGGCTTCGGCCCCAGAGCTGGTGGGGCTGTTTTGTGCGGAGGTCATCTTCCCGTGCCCTGCTGCGGCTTGAGTTTTGGGATCCTCCTGGGACAGGGTCCCCACTAAAAACCTGGAGGGGCCCTATTCACGGGCTCTGTTTCTCTAAAGCGTGTAATAGTGATATGTTTGTGTCCTTTTTCTTTTCTTTCTTTTTAAAAAAAATTTAAAAATGTTTTTATTTTCTTTTTTATTTTATTTTATTTTTTTATATTTTTTAATTTCTTTCTAGGAGAGAGAGAGAGAGAGAGAGAGACAGCGTGAGCAGGGGAGGGTCAGAGAGAGAGGGTCACAGACTCTGAAACAGGCTCCAGGCTCCGAGCTGGCAGTCAGCACAGAGCCCGACGCGGGGCTCGAACCCACAAACCACGAGATCATGACCTAAGCGAAAGTCGGACGCTTAACCAACTAAGCCACCCAGGCGCCCCTGTTTTTATTTATTTTCGAGAGACAGAGCATGAGTTGGCAAGAGAAGAAGACACAGAATCTGAAACAGGCTCCAGGCTCTGAGCTGTCAGGACAGAGCCCGACGCGGGGCTTAAACCCACGAACTGCGAGATCATGACCTGAGCCGAAGTCGGACGCTCTACCGACTGAGACACCCAGGCGCCCCTCTTTTTTTTTTTTTTTTTAATTGAAGTCCAGTTGACAACACAGACATGTGACAGGTGCATACATGGTGTCAGCCATGAGCATAGCTTCCGTCTGGGACCACACAACACTATCACAGTAGCACTGGCCATGTCCCCTGTGCTGTCTCTTTTCTCTGTGACTCACTCGTCTCGTAAGTGGAAGCCAGTGTCTCTCACTCTCCTTAAATAGGCCCTCCAACATGTAGAAATTTCTGGGTCCGCAGAATCCGTACGTGCTCTGGGGGCCACCGGCGCCTGCCTCAGCAGATCCGCAGCTGTGATGTGAGGCCAGCAGACAATAGAAGCAGAGCCGAATGTCGCCGGAGATGCCACCACCCCACCGAACCCCTTTTATGGCGTATTTTGTCAACCATTAGTATTAATTTTATTGGACGTTTCAGTGGATAAGTTAGAAGCCCATCGGATCAGCTGCCTTCTCCGCCTTCTAGAACAGTTTTGAAAGTATCTGCAAACCAAAGCAAGGGAGGCTGTCCAGCCAGGAGTTACCAAGCCAGCCTTCAGGATCGGAGGGACGCAGAATCGGAAGGATGCACTGCACCCTTTGTAAATGGAAATGGGTCAGGGCGCCTGGGGGGGCTCAGTCGGTTAAGTGTCCGACTTCAGCTCAGGTCATCATCTCATGGTTCGTGGGTTTGAGCCCCGCATCGGGCTCTGTGCTGAGAGCTCAGAGCCTGGAACCTGCTTCGGATTCTGTGTCTCCCTCTCTCTCTGCCCTTCCCCTGCTCATGCTCTGTCTCTCTCTCTCAGAAATAAATAAAACATTAAAAAAAGTTTTTAAAAAAATGGGAAAGGGTCTCTCCATGGGAAATGATGCCGGCCAGATAGGGTTAGTTGTAGAATTTGCTGAGTTTAGCTTTGAGGAGTGGGGCCCGAGGTGATTACATGCTACACGGAAGCTGTTGCTGAGAATTTCGTTGGAGGCCACCACCATCAAAAACCCAGGACACCCTAAGGTGATGGAGAGACAGGCTTCCCCTCAGATGGTGGCAACGTGACCTTGCCGGCCAGCCATCTTATCCGCCCACCCCAACACGTGGTCCTTCACCCCCCGCAGCAGCCCCAGGGCTCGTGGGTCTGGGTGTTCACACCCAGCTGTTAGACGACACACGGCCACAGAGATTCTTCGAGCGGGAAGAGGGCCCTGGGTGCCGCAAGTGTTTTCTGAGCGCCTTCTACGCAGCAGGCACAACAAGGCGGGCCCTCATCCAATCGGACCGTGTTTTTGCCCCATGAGGGAAGCGAGACCCTCCAGATAAGTGGTGGCTCACCCCCGGAGCACCCCAGTTCCCGACCAGCGGTTGGGGTGGAGCCGCTCACAGTAGTGGGGCGCTCTGCTGACCAAGGCGGCGCGCCGGCCACAGGTGGTCTCTGGAGTCAGGGATGTGTCCCCGGGAGCCTGGCTTCGCGGCAACTCAGAGTTGCCGCGAAATTGCCGCTAATTAAAACACACGACCAAATTGGCGCCATAAAGCAGTTTGTAATGGCAGCGCTCCCTCTGAAACTGGTCGTTACCGTCGTAAGTCGACTCTTTTCTTGAGCCATTAACGAATAAACTAGTCATGGGCCGCTTTTAAAATGTTATTACGGTGTTCTGCTTCTTAATGAGCTGGCGTCTCTGCTCTGCGGAGGACAAGAAGAGCGGGAGGGGCCCTGGCGGCCTGTCGCGGGCCCGGGGGGACCTGGGCCTGTCCGGAAGGTACCAGAATCCTTGGTAAGACTCTTCCACTCTCCAGTTAGGTTCTAGAACATCTTTGCCCTGTTGCCCATTACTGCCTTTCCCATAAACAGTAAGAGCAGGACCTTGCCATCAAGAAGAGCCGATAGTCGGTTTAGCATCCAACTTCCGCTCAGGTCATGATCTTTTGGTTCATGAGTTCGAGCCCCGCGTCGGGCTCTGTGCTGACAGCTAGCTCAGAGCCTGGAGCCTGCTTCGGATTCCGTGTCTCCCTCTCTCTCTGACCCTCCCCCCTTGTGTTCTGTCTCCCTCTGTCTCTCAAAAATGAATACACATTAAAACAAAATTTAAGGGGTGCATGGGTGGCTTAGTCGGTTAAGTATCTGACTTCAGCTCAGGTCATGATCTTGTGGTTGGTGAGTTAAAGCCCCGCGTCGGGCTCGGAGCCTGGAGCTGCTTCAGATTCTGTCTCCGTCTCTCTCTGCCTCTCCCCCACTCATGAGCTATCTCGCTCTCTCTCTCTCTCAAAAATAAATAAACATTAAAAAAAATTTTTTTAATAAAAAAATAAAAAGAGCTGAGGCTCTGGGGCTGGGGTTGGACACACCCAAGTCCGGGCCTGGCTCTCAATCCCTTGGAACCCAAGTTTCCCCACACAGAGATTCCAGCCCCACGGGCTGCTCAGGAGAGAGAACGCAGGCCCACAGGTGAGCTCAGCCCGGCTGTCTGCCCTGAGCCCGGCCTGGGGACTGCACTGGCCATGTTGCCATTAACACCCAGAGACACTAAGATCGTGTTTCTAATGAAATCTGTGTGGTGCTGCGTGAACGTCAGCCTGGAATGACTGCAGTGCACACCATCAGCAACCGGCCACGTTAGGACATGGTTCTGTCCTCAGCTTCAGTTTCCCTGCACGGGCACCGCCTCCCTGAGGCTCAATTTCCACATCCAGGAAGCAGGAACAACACATACATCGGGGCTTTTGTCAAACTTCAATGAAATGAGGTATGTGATGTACAGGAAGGGTCTAGCATGTGGCCTATTCATTAGTTTAATTTGAAATAAACTATTCCTTTTCTTAAAAAAAATTTATGTATTTATGTAAGTAACCCCTACACCAACGTGGGAATCGAACTCACAACCCTGAGATCAAGAGTCGCACGCTTTTCCCACTGACCCAGCCAGGCGCCCCGGAAGTGTATTCCTAAAGTATAAAATACTGTGTTCTTTATCCGATCCTGCCTTATGAGCCTTTTCTTTACAGGTAGCACAGGGCACACGTCTGTGGTCAGGTCAGATACGTTTGAGACCAGATCTCCGGATGTGCAAAGCCGTGTTGGAGGTTTGCTGGAAGGTTGTTCCCCCCGGCTGGGAGTCAGGAGACCCGGCTCTGCTCCTGCCTCAGAGGCACGCAGGGCCCGGGGCCAGAACCTTCCACTCTCCGGGCTTCAGTAGGGCTTGGGCGTGATCGTCACCCTGTAGCAAAGGGCACCAGGCAGCTTGGCCCCACCCCAACCCCCTCTCGCCCCGCCCCCAACGACAAACGTGCACGAATGTCCGAATGTCCGTCTTGAAGCTTTGCCGGGCCAGCCCCTCCCATCGCTCCCGCCCTGATGGGGACCGCCACTCTGGGGGTGCGTTTACCTTGTGCTTTTTCTCCAGTTTAATGGCTTTCTGGGTGGCCTTCTGTTCCTGCACCCAAAGCTGCTGATACCGGTGCTGCAGCAGGTCAAAGAAAGGGGTAGAAGGCCTGCAGGGGCAAGGCAGACAGGCCTGAGGTTGGGGAAGGCCAGCGGCCTCCTCTGCTTCCTCTCCCCTGAGGGCGCCCCCCCCCCCTTCAGGGCTGCAGGCTGGGAGACGGTGGGGAGGGGCTCTCCCCTTGACCAGACGTTAGGCTCCTTGGAGCCTTTTTTTCAACGAGGCCTTGTCCCTGGGGCCCCTGTCCTTGGTCTGCGGAAGCCAGTCGTCATCAAGAATCTGTGAAGTCCGTCCCCCACCCCATCCCGCTTTCGTGGTAAAATATACATGACATAAAAGTCGCCCAAGTGATCAATCTCACCATTACTGAAAGTGACAGACAGACACCGTGCCAGAATGGCACTGGAAGGTCCAGTCCCTCCACCACACATTCCTTGGGGGAATGAAACCAAAGTGACCCTGAAGGTAATCAAACTTCCAGACAAGCACCGTCAACTGGAAATACAACGCCAGTCACCATGTAATTAAATTTTTTCCAGTAGCAACGTGAAAAAAAAACAAACCAAAAAAGGTGGAACTAGTTTTACGAATATATTTTAGCGGTCTAATTTATTCAAAATATTATCATGTCGGGGCGCCTGGGTGGCTCAGTCGGTTGAGCGTCCGACTTCAGCTCAGGTCACGATCTTTCGGTTCGTGAGTTCGAGCCCTGCTCAGGCTCTGTGCTGACAGCTCAGAGCCTGGAGCCTGCTTCGGATTCTGTGTCTTCCTCTCTCCCTCTCTCTCTCTCGCTCCCACTCTCGCTCTTGCTCTCTCTCCCCTTTCCCCACTCATGCTCGGTCTCTCTCTGTCTCAGAAATTAAAAAACACTAAAAATGTTTTTAAAAAATTAGATCGAATGGAAAGTTGGGCTCCTCGGTGGCAGCGGCCACGATGCATCACCGCCCGTGGCCAGTGCTGCCTCATTGGATGCACAGCTGGCCGTCTACCGGCGATGCTTCTCAGGACGCGCAGGGGATGGGGGAACGTGAGTGGGATGTTCTATAGGACAGGTGAGTCCAGCAGCTCGCGGCTCAGCGAACAGAGGCCACTGAAGGGAGGGGAGGGGGAGGAAGTGACGCGGATCACAGGGAGCTGAGAAACACCCACCAGATGCGGTCTGCGGACGTTGTTCAGATCCTGAACCGAGAAAACCATCAGTGGAAAGGCATGTTTTTTAGGAAACCAGGGCAAAAGTGCACACTGGCTGAGGTTTGGGAGTTATTCTTTCTGTTGGAGGTGCATCTGGATGGAGTGGCATGTTGTTTACAATTTGCTTTAAAAAGGAACCTCCAGGGGCGCCTGGGGGGCTCAGTCTGCTAAGCGTCTGACTCCTGATTTCGGTTCAGGTCGTGATCTCACGGTTTGTGGGTTCGAGCCCCACGTCAGGCTCTGTGTGGATGGTGCGGAGCCAGCTTGGGATTCTCTCTCCCTCTCTCAAAATAAATAAATAAACGTTAAAAATAAAATAAAAAGGAACTTCCACAAAAGATAAAATCCATTACAATAAAATAAAGGGAAAAGGTGAGTATGGGTGGCAGGATGTATTGATAATCATTGAGCCCGTTGATGAGAGTTGATCGTGGGAATGTGTTACACTGCTTGCAATGTTTTCGTGCGTGTTTGAAATTTTTCATAATAAGTAAGAAGAGAAGAAGAAGAAAGAGTGAGTCAAGCTCACTGCTTTCTGCATCGTGACTTTTGACTTCCCTTTTGATCGTGAACAATCCCAGCCCACTCTTCTACCCTCACGTCTGAGCTGATAATTTCCTTGTTTCCCTGGGCCAGAGATTCTCAGATATTTTGGTGCATAAGAATCACCTGGGCCCAGGGGTGCCTAGGTGGGCTCAGTTAGTTAACTGTCGGACTCTTGATTTGGGCTCAGGTCACTGTCTCACAGGGCATGAGTTCAAGCCCCGTGTTGGGCTCTGTGCCTGGCAGAGCCTGGTTGAGATTCTCTGTCTGCCTTTCTCTCTCAAAAATAAATAAATAAACATAAAAAAGAGAACACCTGGGCCCAGTCCCCAGAAGTTCTGAATTAAGAGGTTGGGGGAGGAGCAAGAAATCGCAGGCTTCCCAAATATAGGAAGTAGTTCTGATGAGGGTGCCTTGGGTTGAACGGTGGCCCTCAATGTGATGTATTTCCATCCCAATCCCTGGAAACCGTGACTACGGCTTTATTTGGAAAAAGGGCTTTTGCGGAGGTAGTTAAGGGGCTCGAGATGAGATTAATAACTATGTAAATGCTCATGGCGGCCTCAGGGAAGTCAAACTCAGGGGACCCTCAGCCCACCTCAGGAAACAGTCTGGAGCCCGCTGCGCAGATGACGAGTGCCGTCTAGAGTAAGTCCTGAGAATAGAAATCATGGGTCTTTTACAGCTGAAGGAACCACAGAGCAACGTTCTGGAAATCGTCGTGTGTGCATGGGTCACTGGGGGATCTTGTTACAGGCACATTCTGGTTCAGCGGGTCCAGGGTGACCACAGGTGCTGCGGTCCGGGACCCACACTTCGGGGTTTCAGGCTTAGGCACCCTAAGTCCCAAGAGGTTGTGGACAGCAATCTCTGAGCGGGTGTGCATTGTCATTTTGTCTGCGGGGAGGATCCACGGCTTTTCCCCTCGCACTTCTGAAAATGCAAGCGCCCCCAGAAAGGTTCTGATCTTCCCGCAGACCAGGAGATGCAGAAATGGAAGTAAGGAGAAGAGACACCCCCTTCCCACCCCCAGGATCGTATGTGGCTAAGGGCCCAAGACAGCAAACCTCGAGCCTCTTTGGCTTGGTGTTTGATTCGACTTACACGACAGTCTTAAAAGACCTTGAAATTACGGCCGCCACTGAAACGTTGAGAAATTTTACCTAATAAACCAGCTTTCAAGACCGACTTGGAAATGTGTAGGTTCTGACCGTGTGGCCTGTGCCTGTCAAGCAACGATTGGCTGGAGGGGAGCATCAGTGTCGCTTGGCTACACCCCTCTCCCTTCCCTTTGCTTCTTTACTCACTAGCTCCTCTCCCTGCGGGGCCCCTACGGGTGGATTTGGTGGCCCCGGAGCCAGAGCCGGAGTTGGGCCAGACCCCAAACACCCTCCCCCTCATCTCCATCTGTTCTCCTGTATAGCCTCACTCCCCGGGACTCCCCGGGACTAGACCGAGCCAGGACTCTGTTTGAGCAGAGGTTCAACGGCTCTGAAATGCCACTCGAGCTCAGAGGTCTCTTTACAGAGCGGCCAGCAGTGCGTCTACGAACAGTGGCTCTTTGTTTTCCGGTTCCTTTACCCCTGTGGTGACTTTTATTGCTTAATTATTACACACCCCATGCTTCTGAGCAGCCTAATTTATGGCCATGCTTTCTAATGACACGAGATGCGTAATCTCACAGTATCTACCCCAAGAGGCCATTCACAGCAGAAGAGCGATCTTCCCGGCAGCCCGCGCCGCATACATCACCGAGAGCCTCCCTTCGAGGCCTTCCTGCAGCCCAGGCTGACCAGCTTTGTGTTGTCTTCCTCCGGCCACCGGTTATTACCTGGGAAAGAGGCAGGGAGGGGCTGGGAGCCAGAGACCGGCTGGCAAACCTCACCTCCCCCTCCCCGCCCCCGGCAGCCACAGCCCTGCTGGCTGAGGGAGAGAGGCGGCAGGTTTGACCCGCGTCCGCTCTGGCTCATTAACTTGGATCAAAAGGCAGAGAGGCTTGTCAGGACCCAAATCAGATCACATCACCGTAAGCGCAGATCGGGCCACGGGGTCCCCCCACCCGGCACATGCTCAGCTTCTCCTGTGCCTTCCAGTCCCAGCTGTGGGGTCACCTCCTCAGGGGGCCTTGGGCGACAGCCCATCCTCTGCCGGCCCGCGCCGGGTGCCCTCCCTCGCACCAGCGCTCGGGATCATTGGTTCGCGGGTTTGTGACTTTAGGCCCCTTGAAGTCTCTAAAAAAATTTTTTTATGTTTATTGATTTTTGAGAGATGGAGAAACAGAGCATGAGCAGGGGAGGGGCAGAGAGAGGGGAGACACAGAATCGGAAGCAGCTCCAGGCTCCGAGCTGTCAGCACAGAGCCCGGCGCGGGGCTCGAGCTCATGAACTGTGACGTAGTGACCTGAGCCGAAGTCAGACAGTCCACTGACTGAGCCACACAGGCACTCCGGAAATTGCCTCTCAGTGGAGGAAGAGAGGTCTTTTTAACAAATAACATTGAAACCACCGTAAGTCATGAGCAAAAGCCCACAAAACAACCCTCCACCTAAGTCTCATACCTTCTGCAAGAATTAACTCAAAATGGATCATGGATCTCACTGATAAAACTTTCTGAAGAACACGTAGGAGGAAATGGTCAGGGGCTGGGGCTACACTCAGTGCAGGGTTCTTACACTTGGCATCAAAAGCATGATCCGTAAGAGAAAACAAAACTGATAAATCGGACCCCCTCAAAACGAAGAACTTTGGCTCTGCAGAAGGTCCCCGCAAGAAGATGAAAAGACCATGGGGCGCCTGGGTGGCTCAGTCGGTTGAGCGTCCAACTTCAGCTCAGGTCAAGATCTCACGTTCTCTGGGTTCGAGCCCCGCGTCGGGCTCTGTGCTGACAGCTCGGAGCCTGGAGCTGCTTCGGATTCTATATCTCCCTCTCGCTGCCCCTCCCCCTCTCACTCTCACTCTAATTAAACAAAACAAAACAAAAGAAGAAGAAGAGAAGAGGAAAAGACCAGCCACCAGACCGGGCGGATGTATCTGGCAAAGTGCTCCTCCCCAGAACATGTGGGCAGCTCCCAAACTCAATGTGGAAAGCAAACTGGTTAGAAAGACACCGAGAGGCTTTTCGTCAGAGGATGTACGGACGACCAGTGGGGACCTGAGGAAATAGGCCACGTCCCGGCCATCAGAGAAACACAAATTAAGACCACGATGACGTGACGCACCTACTCGTACAGAAATGAGAAGCACCAAAGGCTGGCAAGGAGGCAGAGACACTCAGCCTCCGCGCCCCCCGCCCCCCGCCCCCCGCCCAACACCACCGGCT